CTCTCCGTCTTTGATTAACATAATCACTTACTTTTAAGTATTTTTCTCTCTCAAGACTTCACTTTAACGTAGCCACTATTTTCTCTTTATTCCGCACAACCAATCTCTCAATCCCTTCAATGCCTCTCGCTTTCAATGCGAATATGAAAATTCCGAGAAAATTTCTCAATTACATGGAACTACAAGAAAAAGAAAAAATCATGTTGTCTAGTCGAAGACTCAAGTTCACTGAACACTTAAATCAAAACACTGTCATCAGCAGACCAGAGAAATCATTTTCCGGCGAGCAAAAGGCGGAAATGAACCGGTCCGGCCCAAGAACCGTACGGATTACCTTCACCGACGCTCAAGCTACCGACTCATCCAGTGATGAAGAAGAGGGATTCTTTATCAAGCGCCAGAGGGTCAAGAAATTCATAAACGAAATCAAAGTTCAACCCTGCTGCAGAGACGGTATTACCGGAAATTCCACCTTTAATGGAAATGCTGATGGTGGTTTCAGGACGCCAGTAACGGTGGCAAAACGGAAGAAGTGCGGCGGAAGAACGGCATCCACAACCAGAAAAAAGACCAGTAACGATAGAAAGTTTCGGGGAGTCAGACAAAGGCCGTGGGGCAAATGGGCTGCGGAGATTCGAGATCCCCTGCAACGTGTGCGGCTCTGGTTAGGCACCTACGACACTGCCGAGGAGGCAGCCATGGTGTATGACCACGCGGCCATCAAACTACGTGGACCGGACGCGCTAACAAATTTCTCCCCCACCATCCTACCATCGCCTGAAACGTACAACAAAACAAGCTCAGGTTATAACTCCGGTGAGATCCCTTCACCAGCTCAAACGTACAATAAAACGAGCTCAGGGTACAACTCCGGTGATGAATCTAACAATAATGACGTTAAATCACCTAAATCTGTCTTGCTTTTGAACTCAGTTTCTGAATGCCAGGCCGACGCCGAGACGTCGTCGCCATTTATCCGGTCAAGCGATGCTGTTTTGAAGGAGAGTGACAGTTTCTCGGACTTCTCGATGTTTCATGTTGATGATGACTTGTTTTCCCAGTTTGAAAACCGGGTCCTACCTGATTTGTTTGACCAAACGGGTTTTACGGATAATGTTTTCGGGTTCGGGGATTTTGAATGTTGCAGTGATGTGCTTTTGGGGTCAAGTAATGATTACCGGGCCGGGTCGCCAACTTTGCAAACGGATGATTACTTTCGAGATTTTGGAGATATATTCGGGTCGGATCCTCTAGTGACTCTTTGAGCTCTGAAGAGGCTGAAAAAGCTTTTGCTGATTTCTCGGCATTTTTGAATAGAGGGAACTGTGCAATGTCAATCGGTCAATCCTATCCTATGGGGATTTTTTGTTTTATTTTTTCTTTTAAAATTTCTGTTTTGTTTTGGTAATCAATGGCAATTTATTAATTTATTAGTAGATGATATTTTTATTATATACGTATAATCTTATGTCTGATGGAAGTCACGTGATTTGGAAAGTCATGCATTAGGAATTTAGGTAAAGAATGAAATCGGATGATTCCTAATCCAAAGGACCAAAACACATTGCCAAACTCGTTTTGTCACATTACGTATCAACATAATAATAATAATAATTGATATAAGATGTTTTGGGGAAAAAAAAGTTTATATAAGAGTTTTAAATTGTTAATGAATAAATTTTACATAGAACAATTATGATTTTTTAAAAAAAATAATAATATTTTAAAATAGAATTTCAAATCTTAATATGATATTGATATCAAAGTTCATTAAGTTTTAATGAGCAATTTTATATGATTCAGACTA